TCGGAGAAATGAAGACAAAACTAAACAATCATAAATAATCATAAAATCAATTGTTGGATGGGCATCAAGTCACTTTAATTTGTACCGGTTGGAGCCTATCTTTTGCACAACTAAATCTAAATTCTCTTCTAAAATCATCTGACACATACTTAGTAAGCAGGTCACAATTGCATTATTTATAATCATGTCAAGAGTTGTCACAGAAAACATGCACTATGCTTAAAGGTGGTTGTGGTCCAGGGGCTAAAATGCCTAAATCACACAAACCACAAAATGGTAACCCCAGCTTTAGTATGCGACGTTTAAAATTAGACAAATTAAATTTTCCCTTCGCAAGAATAAACGTATAAAAATAATGGTGAAAATTTGCATTGCTTAAATTTGCATCACCGGAGGAAAATGTATTTGAACAAAGAATATGAAATGATTACGTTACTTTTTGTTGTTGTTGTTTCAATTCTTTTTATGACATATCTGCATGAACTGGCATATGAAGTACGATAAATTGGGAACTTTTATAATCGTTTTCCTTATTTACTTAAATATTCAAACAAGACATTTTTTGGGGACAAATTCAATACAAAATATTTGCTTGACAAATTGTTAAAAAACGTTGCTTTTTTGCATAATTATCAATATTAAACTTAGGTACGTTTATTTTAAATAAAAGTCACAATAGTCTAAGTTTTTATTGATATCAGTATGGTATTTATTAAATTAATCAAATATTGAAAAATTATTCATTGACTGACTTATGTTAAATTTTATTCAATGTACACCAATTGAATTGCGTAAGTGGCTAAATAAAATAAAAAGGTTCTTTGAAATGAAATTATACACATGTATGCTAATTAGATAAATAATCACAAGTTTATGAGTGCATTAATGTTACTTTTTTATATTATCATATATATGTGCGACATAAAATGTTAGCGAACTTGTCAAAAAACTTTGCAACAACAAATATTTTCTGACAGCTGATGTCTCGCTGGATGATGAATGTTGTTTTTCCGTGTTGTTCATTTCCTTTGTTGTCTATTTAAATGACTAACTTTATGCAAGTATAATTAAAATGTGTACAGCATAAAAAGTGACAGGCGAGTGACTGAAACAGTAAACACCTTTTTCAAAATAAATTTATGATTAATTTATATTTTATAGTAATAAATGAGGAGTATGTCGATGTCCTATATCCGAGTAATTGTTTTAAAGGAGGTCCACTGAGGTCAAAAGACAAACAATCATAACATTTGAAATTCTAACATTAAACAACTGAATAATTTGAATAGGAATTAAATTTAAAATCGATTCTTGTGCGATTCTTGGCAAAATTCATGAAAAAAGCGTTGGAACGCTTTTTAATTTTGGGTCATTTTGCACAATAAAAATGATGATTCTGAAAAAAACGGAGTAAGAAAATGATCTAAATATTTTTACATTAGTCGTTGGTTCTGACATCAAATGAGCCGCGTCACGACAAAACCAACATAATGGGTTTGCGACCAGCATGGATTCAGACCAGCCTGCACATCCGCGCAGTCTGATCAGGGTCCATGCTGTTCGATATCAGTTTCTCTACTTGTTATATAGTTTGTAAGCGAACAGCATGGGTCCTGATCAGACTGCGCAGGTGCGCAGGCTGGTCTGGATCCATGCTGGTCGAAAACCCATTATGTTAGTTTTGCCATGACGCGGCTAAAATGGTTTTTAAATCTCGGAATGATATACCTAGTCAAAAAAAAATATTCAATAAGGGCCCTTTTAAAATTTAATAATTTCTGAATTTTATTGTTTCCTCTTTTAAGCAATTTTAGACAGCTTAAAGTCATGAATTAATTTGCCCTATTTTAAATTGAAGCTGTTCATCATTAAAGCTAATTATATCGATACCAAAATGGATAGTCCCAATAAATGAAGTCCATGTTATCTGTTTGAAGTACTGTTTAGTTTCTGTTGTTATTTCTTTTTTTTCCTAATCAAGGAGGATAATTGTCAATGTTCATAAATCTTGTTGATTTTCTTTGAAAAAAATATTTTTGTATTTCCAAAATGAATCCCTTAGAACTGGGAGGTAAAATATTTTGATGTACGTCCATCATATCAAGGTTTGTTTCTTAACGATATTTAATAAGATATTAATAAAATAATAATAAAATTTGTTAAGAAAAATTATCATGCAAAATAATTGGATACCATTGTTCTTGTATTGTATAAACATGTATAATCATAAATGACGTATTTTGAAATATTGTTTGAGCTCGAAATTGGAAATTGGTAATTATTGTTTAGTTCTCCAGGAAAGCCAGTTACGTGGGCCGTTAGCCAAAATATAACCAACATGTTGACGACATATTATCTCCGGTAGAAATTTATTAAGTGAAAAAAATAGATTAAAAAATAACATGTTTAAACATGTTGAAACGTAAGACGGCACATGGTATGCTGGAAAAAAGAACATTGGCAAGATAAGCATCGAAATAATATATTTATTTTACTTTTTTGCCAAAAATTGGACTACAAAGGTGGAAATGTTTACATTTATTTTTTTTCCATAGGTTTTGTTTGTGTTTAAGTATAATCAGTAATGGTAAGAAGATTGAGGTTTATTGTTGGTCAATGTACCGGTCTAAAATTTGATTTTTTGCACAGTTTTAGTCTAAACATTTGTAGTATAATGTCTTAATTTAGTCTAAATGTTTGAAATATTACAATTTAATATCCGGTATTGCTTTTGTAAAAAAAAAGAAAGGTCTTTTTTATAATTATTTTAGGCATTGCTTTGTTCATATAATATACATTTTCTTGGTTTGCATAATCTAATCAGTGAGCATATTAAGAGTTATTGTAAATCAGTCTTAATTTTGGTTTAAACAGTACATTTGTAAATGGTATCGGTTAGGCTTTTGATTCGGTTTATACACAGTAGAAACAGTAATGGTTTGGCTACAGTTTAGTTAGTAAAAATGGTATTTGTTTGAACGATGTTTCGGTCAAAATAGTAAAAATGGTATTTGTTTGAACTGTGTTTTGGTCAAAATAGTAGAAATGGTATTTGTTTGAACTGTGTTTCGGTCAAAATAGTAGAAATGGTATTTGTTTGAACTATGGCTATGGTTTTTGTCTAAATAGTAGAAATAGTATTTGTTTGAGATATGTTTTGGTCTAAACAGTAGAAATGGTATTTGTTTGAACTATGTTTTGGTCTAAACAGTAGAAATGGTATTTGTTTGAACTATGTTTTGGTCTAAACAGTTGAAATGGTATTTGTTTGAACTATGTTTTGGTCTAAACAGTAGAAATGGTATATGATTGAACTATGATTTGGTCTAAATAGTAGAAATGGTACTAGTATATGTTTGAACTATGATTTGGTCTAAACAGTAGAAATGGTATATGTTTGAACTATGATTTGGTGTAAATAGTAGAAATGGTACCAATTTGACATTTTTATTGTCTAAACAGTAGGAAAAGTATCGCTTAGCTTTTTCCCGTCTAAGAGTAGAAATGGTATCATTTATTTTACGCCATGTATTTAATCTGGCTTAATTTGAAAAGATTGACTTATTTGCATGACCAATGTTTGTTTGTTTGTTTGTTTGTTTCATTTTACGCCTTTTTCCAACAGTATTTCAGTCATCCTTGAGAGTTACACCAGTACTAGACTACCTTCCTCCGCGCTAAACTACCAAAGCATCTCCCGGGGATCGAACCCACGTCAGAGAGGTAACTGGATTAGAAGTCATCGACTCTTACCCCTCGACCACGGAGGCATGACCACAATATATTGTAATGTAATGGAAGGGGAGAATATCAATTGTTGTAACTGATTTCATTATACAGGTATTTACACTTAACCTGCAGTAACTGAATGTGATTTAGCTTGAGTTTTTTTATCTTGATACCCAAAAATTTGATAAAGGACTGTTCAAACACTGGGAACTTGTAAAATTTGTTAAGAAAAATTATCATGCAAAATAATTGGATTCCATTGTTCTTGTATTGTATAAAAATGTATAATCATAAATGAGGTATTTTGAAATATTGTTTGAGCTCGAAATTGGAAATTGGTAATTATTGTTTAGTTCTCTAGGAAAGCCAGTTACGTGGGCCGATTGCCAAAATATGACCAACATTGTATTGAAGTGGGCGTATTAACCCGTCGCTATATTTTTTCGTTCTATACATATATGTATTTTGCTTTATAATTTGAATATATTGTTCAAGTCCTTAGTTCTTACTTAAATTCTTACAATTAACCCATAATCCGTATCCACAAACAATCACTAATTACAGTCTTTTACAATCTTGTTAAAACATCTTTGATTAATATAGTTTGCTATTGTTTAATTTCCCCACAAATCTGCATAACGCATGCGCACTTGAGAAATTGACGGTGCAAGCTACTGTTTTTGTAAAGCTGAAGAGCAAATATTTTAGCAGTAAATAATTTTTTTTCTTTTACGGACCGCTCACAGTAGAGGCAGTGACTGTTAGCGTCCAACGTTTGACCATGACATTAAAAAGCTCCAACTCAATGCGAAATGTTTCTTTTACCCATTAACAATTCAAGGACGAATTTCAATATAGCGGGAACGTATGTCACCGTAGCTGCGGAACGGTGTCCCGAGACTTCTGGGTTCGAGTTTCGGTCAGGCTGCGTATTTTTCTCATCCTGTAAAACTTGTCTACACTATGTTCCAAAATAACAAGTATTGTCATAAATTGTTTGTATTTGTCGTATATGTATTCTTAAAAGTATTTACTAAAACAGACAATTCTAATGCAAGAAATTACTGCATTAACTATTTATTTGGGGATATTGTTGGCACATTTGATACGAGGGAATGTCGTACTTGGACACAGAAGTGTACGACTGGTGGGAATGGGTGCTAAAAGGGCATATGTAGAATAAGAATATCTGCATAATATCTGCATTCCAGTCAAGAATAGTCCTATGGTAGGGAAACGTAAAGTAAATCGAAAAGAAAATAACATATAAATCAGTTTTCGCAACCTTTAATTTTCTGTGATGTTCATATATATGACAATAACTAACAACAAAGTGGGAAAATTCAGATATCCCAAAACAAGCTCTAGACACAAAATGTGAAATGCTACTGGCATGTAGTATGACGTCATTTGATAGTGTGACGTAACTCTCGACTTATAATCTCTCTTGTTCTTCCCTCTCCCCCTTAATTACATGGACACGATGATGTACAAGTAACTGTCTTGCCCCTGTAATGAATGATTCATATAAACATTGATAAATCAATCAACAAAGTAAGTTGTTTCGTGAGGATACATTATTGCTTCCGGTATAAAACAACAAAAGAGAAAACAATTAATATTATACGATTACATTCGTAAATACTTTGCATTATTACCGCTTAACATACCGATCATTTCTTTATTGGCATGATATTTATTTACGTTTTCTTTTTTTAGTTCGCAAATGTAACGTGTTATTATTTCCTTGTACCACGGGCAATGGTAACCATTGCTCTCTACAATGTATGCTGCTTTTGGTGTTCATTGGAACCATTTGTTCTGTTTTGCAAAAGGGAAAACTAAAAAAGGTTGCTACGATAGACAATTATTTTACTTACTCGCACATTGCAAAACATTCGTTTGGAAGGTTTTCCTCGTTGTCAACACATACTGGGCTATATTCTTCAGCATTACAATAATCGCATGGTCCGGCCCATGGGTTAGCTGGAACAACTGGTGCTGGTGCGGCTGGCTCGGGTCCAGATCCGTCACATGGACAAGCGTTTTCACAGTCACGTGGTTCATTTCTTCGAAAAAAAATAAAATAAAGTTGTACAAAATGTTCACATGTTAAATCTTCAAACTATAACTGAAAACCATAAAAGTGAAAGAATATCAGGTCTATACATCAACGAGATCGAGAAAGAACGAAAGTGAATAGTGCTTGCGTTTTAATCATTTTAAGGATATAATAATAATAATAATAATAATAATGATGATGATGATGATGATGATGATGATGCACTGGATGGTTTTACAGTTTAAGGATGGATTGGTGAAAATATGAAATTAAGGAGATAACAATTTGAAATAGAAACAGCCGCAGAACTGAAATCATTGTACATAATTTATTAATCTTTTTTTTTCTTCTTTTTTTCTCTGTTTTTTATTTATTTATTTTTATTGCTAAGAACATTATTTCTGGAATTAAAACTCACCGGCATTTTCTGTAGCAGTCGTTGTCATATTCGTTTCCGTAGATGGTGCAAACTGGTTTGACTGGGTCAAATTGACAATAGTAGTCGCAATCCTGTACTGGGGCAGCGGGGACAGCGGGGGCAACTGGGGCATATGAGAAAACTGGGGCAGGTGCAGCTGGTTGTGGCACGTATCTTCTTGCATCAGGCCAGTCTCTGCTGTTTGGAAGATTGATGTCAGGGTTGTCATTGAAACGACGTGCAGCCGGTGGTGGTGCGCCTGATCGTGTACGGGTAACATATGCTGGTCCTGCAGCTGGTCTAGCGGCGGGTCTAGCTGCTTTTCTTGCAGCGGGTCTTGCGGCGGGTCTAGCTGCGGGAGGAGGTGCTGGTCTGCCGACAGGAGGAGGTGCTGGTCTTCCGACAGGAGGAGGTGCTGCCCTGCCGGCAGGTCTTGCTGCTGGTCTTGCGGCAGATTTTGCTGCAGGAGGAGCGGCTGGTCTCATACGGCGGCCGTCAGGTATGTCAGCCCCTGATGGCAAACCAAAGTCAGGGTTGTCATTTGGACGTGATGGACGTTTTCCTTTCCTTGTTCTTGTCGGAGGACCTTGTGATCTAACAGTTTCAACTAAAAATAGTAAATAACAAATTGTTCTGATCATCAATAAAAAGCTGTCCTTATTCATACAGTATAACATATATCATTATCAATCAATAATCAATTAAAAACTTATTCTAAAAACATATGATAGATTTGAAAAAAAAATTAATGAACCATTACGGGAATTTCATTAATAGTATAAGTATATAAGTCGTATTATTCTTATTTATTTATTTATTTATTTATTCATTCATTTTATTTTATTCTGTTTTATTATATTTTATTTTATTTTATTAACAGGTACATGTATTGCATTGTAGTTCCTCTAACAATAAAAAGCCTGGACAAAATTATGCCATATCTTAGATAAACAAACAAAAGATGAATATATATTAAAAACTGAAATATGTGTTCCATTCAGAATATTAAATTTGCTCCTCATTCAAACTGATGTTGAAGTCAGCAAATTACAGAAGTGTAGATTATCAGAAATACTTGAATATATGAGCCGTGTCACGACAAAACCAACATAGTGCGTTTGCGACCAGCATGGATCCAGACCAGCCTGCGCATTCACGCAGTCTTATCAGGATCCATGCTGTTCGCTATCAGTTTCTCTACTTGTAAAAGGGTTGGTAAGCGAACAGCATGGATCCTGATCAGACTGCGCGGATGCGCAGGCTGGTCTGGATCCATGCTGGTCGTAAACGCATTATGTTGGTTTTGTAGTGACGCGGCTCATATAATAATTGTTTGATATTATTACATGTATTTTGACATGAAACATGTTGCTCCTTGACATGCAAACCAATCGTGTGTCCATTACCTCCCACACATATAAAATGCTATATATATATTTATGTGTTTTATACATTTGTAGTCTCCTGTAATTCTGTATAGAATGGTTATATACATGTTCTTAAGATATATTTAATGTTGTATTATATTGTACCATGTATATAGATGAGACTTTAATAAATAAATAAATAAATATGCTATAAACATCATGTAATGACATGCGTTTTATATAAATTATCATTATCTACGTGATATATTATTGTCATTTATCGATTGGAAAAGCAATTATTTAGGTTTTTATATCATCATAATTTTCATTTATAGATAATCGAATGTAATAACGAATGAATTGTATGTGAAATCATCGTAATAATATAAAAACAATTTCATATGATGATGATAATAATAATTTCTTTTGAATTTTCAAAAAAAAAAAACATTAAAAAATGGAATTGACAAAATTTACATGTTCTTCTGAACGCTTTCATAATGTTCTTTTTAATTTCATTATACCTTAATATCAATTTAATCGTAATATTATATATTAGTTTGCTATCATATTGGATTAAATTTAGTTTTCTCTGATCAGACTTTTTGTTAAATGCTTTACATTTTCTTGGTCTATAAAAATATAAAATTAATACTTTATAAATCGTTTCGTTCGCATGAGCCGGTTCATATAGTGCCTTTGCGACCAGCATGGTTCCAGACCAGCCTGCGCATCCGTGTAGTCTGATCAGGATCCATGCTGTTCGCTTTTAGTTTCTCTACTTGTAATAGGGTTTGTAAGCGAACAGTATGGATCCTGATCAGACTGCGCGGATCCCTTTAAAGCCTCTGACTGGACTGTACCAAATTTAAAGCAGAACAGTCCATAACACAAATTCAACAGGTGTTAAATTTATGTGTAACATGTTAACAAAATAAGGAATATTTGCGTATTATGTTACGAAATAAAAATCTGTAAAAGGTTTGATCACTCGGAATCAGAAACAAAATAACATGAAAATTTGAAAATTGCAGACTCGGTTTTATGAGCCTGTACATAAAGCATTAAGAAAAATGTAACATATCTTAGGCCCCCTAGCACCGGATGTAAACGTTAATCAATTTTCCACCTTTAAAGTGTTGAAATCAATGATCCCGAAGGACTAGAAAAATATAACAACACTGGTGTGAAGTACGGGGCGACGTTTTTACAGCTGCCACACGGCAATATTTATTTAACGAATATTGTTTTAATCTATTCTATCTAATCACCTGTTTAAATTATTTTGACATTCTTTCTCAAATTTATATTGCCATTTATATCGTTTAGATAAAAATGTAATAATTATGTCAAAAGTTGATGTATATTTAATTATATGGAATAATTAATAGCGTCAAATCATATCAACTTAAAACCAGATTTTTCAGTTAAAGAAAGATTAACAATAACTGATATTAATTATATGTTTAGTCTGTCTGATTGATTTATTCATATTGCCAAAGGTTTGTTTTCATATGTCTTTTACACTTTAAAAATATTAAGTTTAAACAATATATGTAAAAATCTGTAAAAAGCAGTTTGACTTCACATATTATAATAATATATGCAAAATTCATAAAAAATGTAAAATAAAAAATAAACCAAAATAAAGTTAAAAGAAAAACAATTATCTTTTAATTTCGGTTGCATTCATTTTTTACACATTTTTTCTTCTTTAAAAATATAATGCTACAAACAATTACAACGAACCTGTTACTATCACTATTAGACAAAGATACAAAAATCCTTTCATGTTTTGACCATCAAATGTACGCACGGAATGCTCGCATCTTGCAGCATTCCCAGCTTAAGTACCGGTCAAATACACGCATTGGTGCTTCCAACATTTTGTCGGCTTTTTGCAAGGCAAAATGTTGCATAATTAACGTCTCACCATCAGTGGGTTTTCTCTCCTTAATTTGACAAGCAGACCCGCTAGCGTGCGCCATTAAACGTCGCGGTTGATGACATGTTGCCAAATAAGGAATATACCAATTTTTTATAGGATAAGTTGGCGATATATTTGCTTGTTGAAGATATTGTCAAATTGCTATATTTATTCGACATCAAACATATTACATGCTTTGGTTTATTCATTTATAATGCATGTGTACTCGGCAATAAATGATATACTGACAAAAATTAACATAGTGATAAATCATGATGACATGCAACAAATTATTGTTGTTGTTTTTTCTCCCCTTTCATCTTTTATCTTTTACCTTAATATCTGTTTTGAACTCTTTCCGAAATGATATTATTATCGCTCAATACCTTACTTGTAAAATGTCACGTGATTTGTTTCGAAACTAGCTGAAATTTCTTCATTTTAGATACATTCGTAACCATTCTTAATTGGTATCGCATAATTGCATGTTGTTGTTGCTGTTGTTGTTGTAAACTGATACTTTTTATGTAGGAAATGACATCGGGCCCAATTGCTGTCAGGGTAATCTGTAATTGGCTGTCGTTACAATGCTGATGCAAAGGTAAATAAAGTTTCCTTTTAAAGGGAAAGGCTTGCCCAACTGTGCCATCATCCCATTCCTTTAAAAATGATTTTTTTCTGGAAAAACCTCTTTATGATAAAGAAATAATTATAAAAAAAATAATAAATTGACCTTATATACCAGTAAAAAACAAGGTATCAAAGTTTTTACAGGTGAAGAGGGTCAATTTATTATCACTATTTATTTTAATTATTTGTATATCATATAAGGTTTATTTAGGATTTTTTTATTTTTTTTTGTTTTCGAAAAAAATGTTTCACTATTAAAGGGGTAGGTAGGGTTACCCCAAGACTGGACGAGCACCTGTGCCCTTTTGTGTCACCAGTGTTATGCGTGCAAATTTGAACAAAAGAAGGACGAGAAATCTACTGATTATAACTGAACCGGAACATACTGACGATAACAGTAACAACGTTTTTTTGTAAAAACGAATTTTTTTGTCAAAAACGATTTGAAATATATTCTCTATTGTATAAATCTAATATAGAAAATAATCAATCGTAAAAATACTAACATAGGCTCTCCCACGTGGAGGAAATAAAAGTATCTATCTATCATACTGAAGGGCAACAATTAGTGTGCACATTTAATTTTTCACTTTTTTTTCGCAGAAGGAGTCATTCGTTTTGGCAGTTGCTAATTTCATTTAAATAGCAGCTGTATAGACAAGTAAATACACTAAACGGGTACCAATTAATATGCATGTATCAACTATGTTACACCTAAAATATCCATGGATCACAGATATACCGACAACACAGGATGCGCTATCAGTACATCAGCACGTGGTAAGGTAAATGATATGCATGAGCTATTTTTAGAAAGACAAAAATCAATCATAAAAGAAACTAACTTTTGCGTCTTGAAAACGAATTGAAACGGAACGTTTTCGTTTATAATTTATTTCTTCCTTCTACCGATTAATCAAGTAAAAATAGAAATCCTATTTATAAGAACAAACTTGGATTACCGAAGTAACTAAAAATAGCTTAGATTTCCGTAATATAACTTCGTCTGATTCCGCAGTATGACGGAATCGCTCGAATTGTCACGATTGCAGCGGAAACCTAGATGACCATGCACTAAAAAATGTAAGCAGGAAACCACCTAACCAGAACAACTTTTCCAAAACAAATGGCTTGCGGCTGTGGCCGCGAGCCAAAAAGAGATGATATTAAAATTAGTTCTCAGTTTTCTTCTTGGTGTTATATGGTAAAATCATGGTCGAATCTTTTCGCAAACTTGAACATTAAATTTTATTTTGTACTTGAAGAGCAAGATGGATTTCGTTCATTAAATATCCCTTTTGTAATAGCCATATTTTTTTGCATGTATAGTAGAACTTCGATAAGTCGAGGTTGAAGGGATTTGCATTAAAAAAATCGACACATGGGGACTTCGACTCATGAATCGCATTGTATATTATTAGTTATAAAGATCGTTGACAGGTAATATGGCTCTATATAAACGACTATTTGTCCCGAGCCGTTAGGCGAGGGTTATATTGCAAACAACCGTTTATATACGGCCATATAACCTGTCAGAAATATTTATAACGAATTTATAATACAGCAAGCATCATTTTTAGAGGAATAAAGCGAGATTTCTTTATAAATCGACAGCAGCCGTGTATATAAAACTATATAAACGTCACGATTATCCAATGAAAAGCGACGTTACAAACGTGCAGTATTATAAAAAAAACTATATAAACGTCAAGATTATCCAATGAAAAATGACGTTACAAACGTGCAGTATTATAAACACTGACATAATTATATTATACCAGGACGCCTTACTTCCTCTGATGTATTTTTACGGTTTATTTCTTATTCTTTCTTTTTACTGGTAGGAAATGTTGATATCAGTGTCTCAAATTTGCATCTGTTAATGTGACCGCATAGCTTGAGGCATTTCAGTGTGTCTCTTCAGGGAAAACAAATGTTGACGCTTAACGAATTGCAAAATAATGCGTCGAGTTGACGAACTTTAAATTGACTATTATCGAGCTAATTGTTTTACGTGACGAAAAAATCACTTAATATGTCAAGTTTATCTCATCCATACAAATCTTTGTTCTTTATGTCAATGACACTCATAAAATTTATGGTTTTCACCTTTAAATGGACTCTCAACATTTTTGTGCAGGTGGTAAACAAGTGGTCAGCCGGCATGAACTTAAACTTGTTGGGCAATCTGATGTGCATAATAATAGAATAATAATTATCCTAATTGAATAACACATCTTACAGAATAAATTATAAATAGTAATGTCGAATCAGCAGTTTCTTTCGTATTGGCGATGAACATTGTACTTGTTTATGCTAAATAAATAGGGAATATTAAAGGTTTTCTATAAATATAGGATTTATTTTCATCGAGTGGTGTGAAAATAAATAGTTAATATATGATAATTTTCAAAACCACAAGATGAAAATAAATTGTGCATTTATAGAAGAAAAAACTGGAAGTTTCTGTATATTATATACATTTTCTCTTCTTTTTTCACATAACAATTTGAAAGACTTCCCCTTAGCTGAATTTTGAAGAAAGTAGTCCTGCTAGACACCAGTGAAAATACAGAAAAAAAATTTTAACTGCAGTGAAAAATATTTTTTACAGTGAAAATACAGAAAATGAAAATTCGCAATTATTTTATCAATACTTCTCAATATATCATTTATAAAGATATAATAAAATATTAAATTGAGCTGAATTCAATTGGTCAGAAGGTCCAAGGCTTATGTATGCATTTGTACATACCGCGTGCGTTAAAATAAAACTTTTAGTGAAACAAACAAAGAACATATGATTTACATGAAGTAAAAATAATGACATATTTAATGATTTATTATAAACAAATGTTTTAAATCTACGCCAAGGCATTGACAAAGTAAGTACATCAACTAACTAACTAACGTTCAAAACTGATTTCATCTTCAAGAATTGCTTTGACTTGACGATGAAGCCGATTCACTGCATCTCATGGGGGTCAAACTGAACAATTTATACAGAACTAAAATGTCATACTTGTCAACAATTTAATTAGATGACTTTCAAAAAAAGTTGTTTAAAATCTTTACTGTCGCGGATGTGTATGTCACACTGTCGGGATGCTGTCTCCATCTTGGGATAAGATTGATTGTATGAATGACTTCTTCTGTTGTTTTTTCATTTACATTTAACATTTTACAAAAATTTGTAAACAGGAAAGTAACAAATTAGTCCCGCACTAAATGTATGCCGTAAGCAAATTTGAATTTCTATTTTAAGACTATGTCGATCTATGTAGAGCTATTCAGTTTCTTAAGATGTAAAACTATAACTCGCAAATTAAATATAAAAACTTTTATACTTTAAATTATTATTATTGTTGTTGTTTTTGATGATAATGATGATGCTGCTGCTGTTGTTGTTGTTGTTGTTGTTGTTGTTGTTGTTGTTGTTGTTGTGGTGGTGGTGGTGGTGGTTGTTGTTGTTGTTGTTGTTGTTGTTGTTGTTGTTGTTGTTGTTATTATTATTATTATTATCATTATTATTATTATTATTATTATTATTATTATTATTATTATTATTATTATTATTATTATTATTATTATTATTATTATTATTATTATTATTATTATTATTATTTATCAAGGTACAAATATCCAACCAATTAAAGACAGTCCTATATATATTCAAAACACATTAGCTGAAGATTGAATACAATTGAGGTAGGAAATAAACAACTTTCGACCAAAAAGGACATTGTTTTTTCTGCAGCATTTGGAAAATAAAGAAATTAATTTTTATTTTATTTTTAGCATTTCATAAATACTAACATTTATCGATGCTCATTTCTAAAATAGGTACGTGCATGCGTTTACGTGTGCCTTTTTACTTTAAGTGTAAAACTATTTTGGTTAAATTCATAACTTTTGCATCGTTATTTGTTTAAAATTTACACTATTTTGTGACATAAAAGTCGTTCCGTATTATTTAACCATTCTATTGTAACATTTTATAAGAAACAAAACGCTTTTTAACGTTGACATGCACAGTAAAGAATGTGTTTCAAACCGTTAACTTATTCACGTGAAATTATTTACGGGAATTATAACGCTATAATTTGAAATTTGTATTGCAAGAACTATTTTGGTAAACACAGAACAACGCATGTAAAACGAAAATGTTACGTTTTGTTGAATACAAGACATATAGTCTTTTAATTTATATAAATTAACTTCAGGCCAAAAACTGTCCAGTTCGTCTGCATTTATTTTTGAGCTGACGTAAGGAAATCACTCACGAAACAATAAACAGATATTGATGATGATCCTCTTTCAAGACTCTAATAAACATCAAATGACGCACAGGT